TGGAAAATATATAGTTATCATTTTTGATAGAACATTTCTATGCAAAATAAATGCATGGTAATTGTAAATTGCAGAATTGCATTAAGAAAATTAGGTTATTTGAGCAATAGATATATTTTTCTTTTAATTTAGAATACTAGTGGAGTTTCAAGAATGCAATATTTTCTGGAAACCTGAAAATAAATAAGGATTTATTACAGCTTACACAGCAGAGAACACAGTAATGGTCAGGAATTTGGCATAGGACATGTTGTTTGCTTTCACCACCGTGTGATTCATCAGAACTCTTGCTAGGCTAGTGCTCACAAAGCAGTGCTGTGTGCTGCCAAAGGCGTCAACAATCCTGGCCACCTTTACACTATAAATTTTAGTGACACAACTGTGGTGGCTGTGGCAGGTCTAACAGAGAGCCCACCTGCTGAGCGCCATCCTGAGCTTGTACAATCATGCAGCTTCACTATGCAAATTTAATGACTTAGACCTTGGAAGCATCAGCGGTGCCTCGCCGCAGCATCGCATCTGAACGAAAAAGCCCAATTTCCCTGTGATGCTAAACTGACTCAGATATAGACCATCATCAGCTCTGATGTTTGTCTAAACACAGGCCCTCTCAGTTAGTTTCTGCAAAGGCTTTGAATAACAGAATGAAAAATCTACTCATCTTCAGCATTTAATAATGAATACATCTGCACTGCTACAATCTTGAGCTGGTTTAGCTGGCTCTAGATTGGAGATGTGTGTACCTTTTCTATTGCATTCTGTAAACATGTCTAAACGAAACACAGAGCAGCTAGCTATCCGGAGTTTAGACAGTCGCACTGGAGAGTTTGGTAGGTGACATTTGAGAACAGGATATAATGCTTCTCACTCTCTGGGATACATCTTTACTGGTGCAACTGTAGCTGGACATGTGGTCGCAGTTTCTCCCAGCAGACAGCTAAATACCACACAGCCTGCACACTCTCCCTGCAGTGGGATGGGGAGAGAATTGGGAAAAAAAGCAAACTTGTGGGTTAGGGTAAAGATAGTTTAATAGAACAGAAAACAAATGGGAAAAAATAATTAAAATTTAAACAAAACTAATAAAATTATTAGAATATACGAAATAAGGGATGCAAATGCTGCTGTTGCTCATCACCCACCAAACCGATGCCCAGCCAGTTCCCAAGCAGTGGCCTTCCGGCCGCTTTGCCCCTAATTTCAGTTTGAGAAGCTGAAAAGTCCTTGAGTTAGTGTACACTAACTAGCTTAGCACTATAGTTAGCGTACACTAACTAAAACATCAGCATGTTTCTAACATTATTCTTGTCCAAAATGCAAATCACAGCACTATACCAGTTACTAGGAAGAAAATTAACTCTATGCCAGCCAAATTCAGGACACATTCTCCTGGTGTAGCTCTGCTACACCACTGATACACTGATGTCTTCCTGCCGAAATCAGCATCCACTTGAGTTCTATATATGGACATGTGCTACTTGGGAGCTGCATAACAGTATTCCTCATTAGAAGGGAAACCATAACCATTGTTATTCCTCTTAGAAGGGAAACCGTAGTACTTCCAGTAAAGTCTGTGTTCTCTGGAGTCCCAGAAAAGGATTAAGTTCTGTGATTAGGCTAATTTAATAGGAAAGGTTTAATTATTTGATACCCCACAAAAAATAGATTTACTGACTTTTGCATCCTTTCCAAATGTGACATCTCTGAGCAGGTCTGTAATGGCAGTCTCAAAGGACCTGTGCGGTACCCAGCACAGGCAAAGGACAACCTGTTGCTAAGCAACTGATACGAGTGCACTGCTTAGCATTTGTTTCATTTGGAAAGGACCCTATCCTTGAAGTACTTCATCTTAGGTACTGAGCACAAAGAGTTTTCCACTTGCTTTTCTAGAGCTGTCCACAAGTGTTAAAACATCCAGTGTGCACAAACAAATGTGCAATTTAAAGAACAGGTGCCAGAAAAGAACACACAAGATTGAAGCACAAATATTTCAGCCCTTTCTAACATCAGTGTCCTGAATTTGCCTCTTTGTTCATCCTATTTGAAAACAGGCTGCCTTGAGAGCATGTATGTGGCAGAGCTGTCCATGGAGTTTACTAATGTTTGTTGATGAACCTTCTTTGGAAGAATGCCCTGTCATAGTTTTCCTAGTGATAGGAGGAAATACTTTCTCCCTGATAAGCAAAGGCCAGAACTTGACCCTAGCTTTCCAGGCTGAAGACTCCAGATCTCAGATTCATACTATATTTTTTTTCAGAAACACAGCTAAATAGCTTTGGAAAAAAACAATTTGGTTTCTCAGGGACATAATAAATTCATGTTTTATTGCATGGGATCTGAAAGACACACATGCCATGCATAAGTGTACTGAGATAGGTGGGGCATGCCATCACAACATATGTCCCATCTTTATGTATGGGGAGGCTAATTTTGGCTAGTAAGAAGCCTGTATGGATTTTAGTTCTCTTCCCTAGCAGATGTAGCAAAAACATTAATTGATTGATCTCTTATTTTTTTCTGACCAGCTTTGTTGTCTCATCCAAATGCTCTAGGATGTAAATTATTTGTGGGTGGCCCAAGAACTGCCACAGTTCAGGTCTTACGTGGGCCCACAGATGGTAAAATAGAATTTTCTGTTGCCCCAGACGTTGCACATGTGAAAGCTTCCATCTGGTCACAACCTCCTGCCTGATGGACAGCACAGTGAACTTAAGCTCAGCTCTGCCTGAGTAGGACCATCTGACACAGCTGCAGGTTTCTCTGGCTGCTGTTGGTATTTCCTGCACCTCTGTGTCGTACTCCAGTAATTCATAACCAGGTGGAGGCAGACAGCGAGGACTGTGCTAAAAGCCATCGGGTTGCACTAGGACACAAACTCAGCAGAGACTGGGAGGCATAAGTCGCTCAGTGTTACCAAGCAGATTGTTCAAAACATCAGTGAAGGTGTCCTGTTCTTCAAACACATGCGAAGTAGGAAGGGTGCCGGGGTAGCAAAAAGTGCTTTTGTTTGTAGCCACTGACAGTCTTTCTGCTGCTGATCCAGTGGATCATATCAGATATAGACAGATGTTTAACTGTCCCTTTGATCAAGTGAAATGGATACAACTTTTGCTTTGGACTGGTATGGTTTCCAAATGATGTATTTTGTTAAATGAAATGCAGTGTGGGAGTACAGCACTGTTTGCAAGCTAAGCTCTGTCTCGGGAGCAGCAACTAACTACATCTTTTTTTAGAGCTGAAAAAATAAAGCACAGTGTTGAAGAAATGCTGCTGATCTCTGCATGGTAGCCTGCAGCTATGGTGACCTGAGAGAAGAAACTAGGTGTCTTAGACTATGCATATACATAAATCTCTTCCTGCCTCTCTCCTTCACTAATACCTCCACTCCCTATGCTCAGATAGGGAGTTGTCTTCCAGATCTCTCTCTGTTGAAGCACTCACCTTAACTGTTTGCCTTGTATCAGTGGATTCATGGGATTCATGACACAGAGTTCCCACAGCTGGATCGATACTTCTTTCTTATCTCTGCTGTTGTATGTGCAGGAACATCACTTGCCCACAGGCTAACACCGCAGTGCTAGGTCATTGAACGTAGCTGTCACATTTGGGAGCAAGAGAGCAAATTTGCTGCTAAACCTGACAGCCTGGTCATGAAGAGATTTGCTTTGATTTCAAGATGGAAATAATTACCATTTTCAATCCCGTGGTTTTGATCTGTTAAAGTGAATTGCCAGCTGTCCTGCTTTATTTAGGGAATACTCTCCCGAAGCTGCTGCTTCCAATTTCTTTTGAATATTCAGTCTTCAGTGATCTCACCATGATGCAAACAGCCAACCCTACCACAAGGAGTTTGCTTGAGGAATAACTCCAAGAAGGTGACCAATTCAAAAGCAGACTTGCTTAATGAGTGAACAAGCAGGAAAATACAAGATTTCATTGTGTGTGGGTTTTTTATCAAATCCAAACAAAATAACAAAGTCAGAAAAAGGATGAAACTTAATGGGCCACCTGATTTTCAAGTTGCAAGATTCACAGCAGCATATAGTTTTGAAAAAATGAACATTTTTCACTAGAAACAAATTGATCAAGAAATGGTTAACCAGATTTCTCAAGAAGACGCCATGTATGTAGCATACATGGAAATAAAACTCTGGAGAAAATAAATTACAGATTACAATACAACAAAGTAAAAGGCAGGGGTGAATTGAGTAAAGGATAAAGCATGAGATGTAGTTTCAGTGAACATCTGAGCTAGCTCCAGTTAGGCTTAACTTAGGAAGCAGAAGCTGTTTGCCGCATTAACTAGTGAACTTCGCTAGCATTAATTACTAAAGTTATTTGTGTCATTCTCCTGCCAGATCTTGAGCAAGCTTGAAAGGCTGTAAGCCCCAGCATGCAGTAGCATGTGTAAATATTCTAAGTGAACCAATAATGAGAAGCGGAAAATAAAGTGCAGTCCATGGACTTGGCCACATTTCAATACTTCTATGATTTTTTTTACATAACTTTAAAGAAAATGCAAAAGAAAGAAAAGAGAGTAGATGAGGAGGTATGACCAAGGATATATTATATGCTCTCTGCAAATTGTTTCAGAATCTAAGAGGGAGAAAGGAGGAAGTTCAAGTCAGCATGTTTAATACATTTACTGTAATTCAGTTTGATTGAATGATTTTCAACTGTAAACAAGTTTCCACTTTAGACTCGATGTAAAATAAATCCCTTCCTTGTGCCACTGTAAACATAGATTTTCTTTTTGCCCTCAGTGAACTGTAGCTTATGCATTAACAGGAACTTTCTGCTAGGAGCCTTTGTTCTTTTGGAGAGCCACTCCTCTGGGATTTGGGCTCCCTGGTTGGCCACTGTACCCAGCTCTCCCGATACGGCAGCAGGTGGATCTGACCAGCAGGCAAAGTTAATAACCTGGTGAACCAGGGGCAGGAAGGATAGTTGCAGTTACACAGAAAACATTGAAGGATTACTTCTCCTTTGGTACTTCAGAAATGAAAATTGATATTCATAGCCACATTCTACCTAAGGAATGGCCTGACCTTAAAAAGGTAATAAGAGCTTAGATATTCAGCGCCTTATGTTAGCAGCAGCCATTTCTACCAATGTAATTTTTGACAGAACAATGAATGAAAGGTTCCGTTATAAATATCTCTAGGGATTTGTCTAATCTGATTTTTTTTTCAGATAGAAGATATTTGTATTGCCTTACTTTTCACAGCATGAGTTCCAGTCAGAAAAGAATGAGAAATGGGGCTCTGTTCCCTACTTTTTATTTAGTCTGAAGCAATTCTTATATTTCTGCCTGTATTTTTATGAGACCTAAATTTGTCAAATGATGAGCTGAAAATTTGACTTTCTTGATAAAACCAGAGCTGTTGGGTTCCCAAATAGTATTCACTTTTATTTTAAATAAGAGGAATAAGCAACTATTAGACAAGATTAATGTTTCTGAAGACAAAAGTCATTCAGAACTTATACCCACAGGCATGAAAGTCATTAACCTCAACAGGAGTGGCGTCACTCTATGTACAGTTAATTGATGATGATGATGATAATTTTACTAAACTTTTTCAGTTACTGGAAAGAAGTACCGTATTTGTATTGAAAATACAGATTCTCAGTTGTCAGAATGCTGAAGCTATAAGTCAACTTGTATTAACTTTGAATATTTGTGTATTATTATTATTATTATTATTATTAAATAAGGTAAATTCATTCTTGTCAGTAATAATTTTCATGAAAATTAAAAGTACGTGAGACTGGGAAGTGTCATTCAGGTTTACATGTAATAAATCTAATCCTTTTCTTATTTCGGATAATAAAAATCCATGTAGTCGTCTCATTCTGAACTAGGCCTTAGAGTTATTGCCTAAATAATTATAATTTTTATAACTCGTTAATATTTCAATTCATTATAAAAATTCAGGGTACAAACGAGAAGATCTGCGTTGTAGTGTCTTTCGTTATTGTAATTTTGTGTGGTAGTTTGAATGAATATTCCCTCTGTCTGACAGTAATGTGGAACCATTTGATTTCATTCTGCCTGTCTTTGACAACAAAAGAATACCAATATTTCAGCCATGAGCTGTGGCATTCTACACACTAACGGAAGCTCTTCTTTGCGCTGTACTCTTCTTTCACCTAATTGTTTTGAGGTTGATGATGGCAAATTCTCAGGCGTTTCTTGTGTATTGGCTCTGTGTTTCTATGCTTTTGAACATCACAGTCCAGTATCAGTTTGATATTAGCCAGAAAGCAGCTGGAAAATATAAATGGCATATTAGAAAAAAAGTCATGTGAAAACCTGTTGTTAAGAACATGCATAGGATTATTTCTCCATCGGTAGTGAAAAATAGCACCATTATGCATAAAAGCTCCTGGAATTGAGTGTTTGTTTCCTTATTTTCCTGGGAAGGTCTTTTTTAACATCTGTTTGAACTTTGTATTTGTAATAGAAAAAAAATCCTCAGTGAAAAACATGCAATACACTGGATAATGCAGGTGAGATGACAGATTTTTTTAGAACAAGTATTTCTGTTTTAAATGGATAGGAGTTTAAATATCCAGACTATAAAGGCAGGTTACTCTTGCTTGTTGTCCTTGTTTGTGCAATGTTCCTATAAAAACACCTATAAAATTCCTTCATTCTGTTTTTACATGATTTTTTTGGTCTTTATGTACTTTAAAAGGGCAGTAAATTCACTGAGATAAAATCACCCCAAGAATCCCTTGACGTTCATGGATGTACATCAGTACTGAATTCACGGCTGTTAGACCCTGTAGGCCGGTGGTACCTTTCTTTAAGCATTGATAAAGAGGCAAAGACCAAACTTTTGCAAGTTAATTTCCACCTGCTACGTTTTTTTTAACTCTGTTCTGAAGACTGAGCAGTGCAATGGCTTAGAATAGAAAACAACTCTCCGAACTCCCTAGAGTCCTCTGAAAATTCAGGCCATTACCATAGTTCTCTACATCTCATGCGTGGCAAACCAGCGAGGCAACCCTCACATGCACGCACAGTGCTAAACTTCGATTTCTTTTTTGCAGCCTTGTAAATGCTGAACCTTGAGTCTGGAATATTTTGTGGTCGAGATACTTATTTAAGAGCTTAGGGACCCATAAAAAGTATAAAAATTCATAGAAATAAATGAAATAAGGACTGAGAATATATCCAGCTAGTAACTGAGGGGAATAAAGAAGAAAGTAAATTCAAAAACAGGCCAGTGAGTTTGTTGCCTAAATGCTCCTTTAGCACTTTTAAGGAACTCATTTTCTGCACAGCTCAGTTGCAGTTAGCATGCAGCTAGTGAAAACTTAAGGTTCTCCTTAGGTGTTACTCAGAAAAATTTTCACTGAATTTCAGTATTAAATATATATACCTGTAAATTTATAAATTTAAATAAAATACACATAGCTACACAACTAAATGTAGGTAAATAAAACATTAATAGCTTTAGCCGTTAGCATCTCTGACTGGCTGAAGTCCAAAGGCTTGGCTCTGCGTGCCTGTGTTAGGAAAGCTCATTGCGGTGTTAGGTAATGATTTGTTATCACAGGAAATTCAGGACTATATTTAAATTCTTTACTCTTCAGTGAAAGAAATGCCTGCTTTTATGGAGTTTCCTCTGAAATGCTTCTCTGCAGATAAACGGGAATTCTGAGCATTGTTTTCAGTCTATTATGATATTTCAAGATTTCATTTATTTCTAATCTGATTATGAAAGTAAAAGGAAATCATTATCTTCTACAGGTTTTGGTTTTTTAATAAACAATTTTGAATCTTTCTGGAAGAATTAATGAGCATCTAAGCTTCTCCTTTTTAGCTTCTCTTGGCTGTTTAAATATTAATAGACAAGAGACTGACCTTCAGTCCTGCTGCTGAATCATGGAAGCTGAAAAGGGGAATCAATACATCTTTGTGCTAATGATTAACTGATCACAGATTGGAAAATTGTCAGCTCCATTTTCATATTGCCAAATGCTTGATTTAATTTGTTCTATGTTAAAATCATTCCAGATAGAACCTCAGTATAGTAAGCAACTTTAAGCACTCCAGAATCAGCTGTAGGACTTAAAAATGTTGTTGAACTGGGAGCTGAAGGTTCAGATCTACGAACATCATTAGTCTGGTCTAGTCAAACTTCAGCACTTCTGCTGAAATTAGTGGGGCTACTCAGAGACTCAAAACTGAGCACATGTGTTTCTTCTGTATGATGTACTGCTGGGTTGTAAGAACTGATTTTTTTGTTACTATTGCAGACTGCTAACTAGCCCTGGGTTTTTCTTCTGTCTTTCACAGAGGTACGGATATGGTGGATGGGTACAGCTGGATCATCACTGCAAGGTTTGGGCTGTTTGGTGCTCTAAGCTGATCTTGTGTTGCTGTGTCACGAATACAGACTCGCAGTGAATCTTTTAAAAAGCAAAGTGGCAACAAGATTGGCTATGTCCAATTCTAAGGAATTCTTTTCAATAAGATAGATTAGCAGATTATATATAGATTTTTTTAGTTAGATGCAGTCATCTGTATAAGAAGCAAAACCAGAAGGAACTGGTATTTTAATAAAAGTTGAAGAATGCAAATATGAACATGTCTTCATATCTGATTGAAAAGGGAACTTCATGCAACTTGTACAACTTCATGACAAGGAGAAGAAGTAGCGGAATGACAAGGACAATCCTTAGATTTTAGGACCATTGTGTAGAAAAGTAGGAGCAGGACATTTATTGGCAAGTGAAAGGCAGACTGGATCTGATTTTACCTCTTTTTATCACCGTCCACTCTATTAACTTTGCAAGGGCACTTCTGAGCTACACTAGTGCAGCTGGAACAGCCTGTCTCCAGGTGCCACGAGTCTGTGCTAACATTCAGAATCCAACTTGCTGGTACTGAAGTTAGCAGATACATGTGTTCACTCTGCTGGGGACAGAACTGGTTTCTTAAAGGCTTGATTATGATCTCACTCGGAGTAGAGCAAATCAGCAGTAACTTCAGTGACACAACAACAAAAAACTTCTGAAAGCAAGGTCGAAATGCAGCAGTTTCTCTCTCGATAAGAGCATTAAAACATTACCAGTATTAGCGCTCTTTTTACAGGAGGGCACAAGGAGCCAAGTGAGGTAAGGCTGGTACAAAAAAATAATTCCCTTTGTACATTACTGCATAGGTTAGCTGTACCAGTTAGCTAGTTTTAAAGATGTTACCTCTGTTGCGATGTAATAACTTTGGTAGTCAGATACTGCTGTCTGTCTCAAACATCATCGCAGGAAAACAGCTTCCTCCTGTGACTTGTCAGCAACTCACTCCTGGGAATCTTTTGGAAATCCTGTCACTGCAAATGGCACTGGCCTCTGAAAAGAGGGAGATGAGGAAGATGGCATTAAAAAGAGACCTCAGGAGACCTCAGTTCACTTTCCACCTTGCTTCATATGTACCTGTCCTAACCTTTAAAACTTTATCTGTAATTGCCTACCACAGGAATACTATGAGTTGCACGGAAGAGGTAAAAGCAATGCAGGGTATTAGCCAGAGAATTAAGGAAATGATACGAAGACAACAGGGGTTGCATAAATAAGAGCAGAAAGAACAATGTGGGTATAGGAAACTGCAAGACAAAACATGCAACATTAGGAGCATGAATAGCTCAACAGTGTCAGCACACAGCCTGCCTCAAGCACGTGAAGAGTGCGAACAACTGGCTCCACACCGCTGTGTTATGTAAGGACATGCCCTGTGCACAACTGGCTTTACAAGGGTTAATCTGCCTCTATCTTCCAAAATTCAGACATGATCTCGATATAGGAGTTCTGTACTGACAAGTAGAGGGATAAGTAATAGAAAGATTTAGTACTTAGGATCTTCAGGGTGGCAGTGTCTCTCCCTGTTTGTGTAACCATGTAAAGAAAACAGTACCCCATCTTCTTCATTGTTTCATTTTGTGACTTGGCTAATTCAGTCATTCTCTGTAGAGAATTCAACTTTTATTGTCTTTAGAGAAGCAAGACTTGCATCTTCCAGGTAACCAACGTAGTTATATATAAAATGCCTGTTAATTTCAGTGCAACTACACTTCCCTTCATCCCCTTGTAACTTTGCAAAATCATGCTTCTTTGTGATCATATATATGCTTGTGTTAACTGAAAAAACTGATTAAATGTGTCTATCTATTGCAGCCTAATGATATACACACTTTTGTCATTCTATAACATGCAAGGCTGTGCTGTCAAACACCTAACAGCCATTTATGGAAAAAGACTACAGTATGAAGGTTGGGACTGAGAATAAGTAAGAAACAAATATTATGCTATAATTTCAGATCTGAGTCTAAGCAGGCATAGGAGCGACGATCAGCTGAACCAAAGTGTGGATGGCACAGCTTCTGAGCCACGTGGTACGTGCAGGAAGGAGAGAATTGTTGCAGACATTTTTAGCAGCTTAGCTGTTTGTTACAGGTCTGATGCTAAAATTCCTTGCTAAAAATAGTTTACAGAGGAACTTTGTGGCAAGTTAGTAATAGCCTTATATACTCTGCAAAGAATTCTGTGTAGCCTACTTCTGTCCGAAAATGTTGCATGAAAAATTGCACGGCAAAATAAAATCCTGTTCAGATGTGTTAACTCCTGGGGAAGTTAACTCTTAAGATTTTTAAAAAAAAAAAAAAAGGCAAAAGCTTCTCATATCATTCTGTGAAGAAGCATCGGGGTCAAACTGGAAGAAGATAATTACAAGTATTTTTAAAGAACTGCAATTTGGGATGTGACTTGAGTAGTTTAGTGATGAGATAATTTTAAATGTAGCTTGCTGAACCAAATCAGCCTGCTGGACTTAAATCTCTCTCTCTTAATTTCCACATAAATTAATTAAAGCCTTAAATATGAGATAATGTTTAGAATGAGACAGAACAGAACAGAATGGAATGGTGGAATTCTTCCACTATGCCCTTAGAAAATTGTGTTAACTTTGCAAATAAAAATCTCACGTCTTTTATATTGGCAGCACTGCATCCATTGCTTTAGAACCTGAAAAAAATTTTCCTGATTCATGTTTCATTCTTACTACTGGAATAAACTCTGAAAATTGTTTCCCAGCTGAGGTGGTTGAGTTATTTCACAGTTTAAAAATATCAGATGCAGATTAGTGGCAGTGTCTAGAGACTGTAGCAATACAACTCATTTTCCAGTCACAGTATTGCTGGACCTAATCTTCCTATCCCTACATGCACAAACATGGATCTTTTATGCTTTCCTGCATAATTGAGTCTGTTGTCAACATACAATGCTGTGAGCTCAGCCCTGACCTGTAGCGTATTCACAAAGAATCAGTTAATGCAAATAAAATCACAGACTGTTCAACTAATTCTTCAGTGAGAAGAGCACATGGAAATTAGAAACCTTTCCCATACTGCAAGCCCTGTTGCAGGTTTATGTTGGCATTTAGGTATGAGCACTGTCAAAGTTCCTAGTAAAATTACAATCTATCTCATACTTTTGTCAATGTTACCTGAAGAAAATACATATGAGCAGGTCAGTTGCTATGCCTTAGCTATGTCTGAGGAAAGAATTAAGTCATGTGTTCACAGAAATGCTCCCAGTGGTAATTAGTAAAGTCCACACGGTCTATTTGTATGTGATGAAATGCTCAGTTCTACTCTTTCTTTACTCACACACTAAGTACTTTTCTGTTAATTAGGCAATCTGCAGCAACATGTTGATCTTTTTTGGTGTATTGGAATGTATGGCTAGAGTAAACCTTTCTGTCATGTTGGAAAATCCATTTTATAAGAATCTGAAGTGTTTTTATCAGAGAATCAGGACTATGTAGTTGTTATTACTGACTGTAACTTTTCAAGTAATTTTCACAACCTGTGATCCGGCTAACAAGTAACCTGACAGTTTGCCCATGCAGCACAGTTAGATTTTTTGAAGCAACCTTTAAAATATTCATTAGGGCAGTATATTTGTGGATGATGTATGAAGTTAATAACAAATTCAAGATTAAGAACAGTATGGCTTCTCAGAAGGAGGGGACAGAAACCCAGCTCTGTGAGAAGCAGTGAAATTTTGTTATTTCTGTTTTAGCATACCAGTAGCAAATATTCTGATTTAACAGTGTTTTTATTTGGAAAAATAGACAGGATCCTAAATAAACCAGTTTCATGGGGAAAAATAAAGTGGCCTTTGGAGAGACAGAATTCCCCTTCCAGAAGGGTCAAAAGACTGCCCTGCCCTTAGCTTCCATTTACTGTGAAGGTGAAGGAAGAGCTGCTGTGTTTTCTCATGTGGTTTTAAATTTTCAACTGCAGATTCAGTGTATTCTCTCTGTCCCATACATCTGCTGCATGGCCACGCTTACCCATCCCAAATACACAGAGTCATGTGGATCTTCTGACTTTCATCCATTCCCATTCGTACCCTAGAGCAGCTTCAAGTGACCAGGAAATACTGAGGCCTTGCAGGTATTGGTGAATTGTGTCTCATCACTCTGGGCAAGCATAAGCCAACGGAAAGACTGTTCTGTCTGTCTTTACAAGTCCATAAAAGCATGTGGATACCTACAACTGTGACAAACTTACTTTGCTGAATGTGATGACACTGTGACTACTCTCAGTCTGTTTGGACAATAGACAAATCAACCAAAAATTAAGTTGAAAAAGCAAGTTTCCATGTTCATAGCTAAAGAAACAGTGTCGCATTTCATTACCTTGCTAATGTTTTGAACTCTGGAAGTTTAGGATTTGGTGGCATCTGAAGAAGGTATCACAGTAATTCAGGTAATGGTTATAAACTGCATTTATGTTTTGTTTGGGGTTTTTTTTCCCCAAATTCTTCAATTTTGTTTTTCCTAGGGCAAAAATACATTCTGAAGACAACATAATGGGTCTCCTTTTGTCTCAGTATTGCTGGTGATGGAACAACTGACATGAAATTAGCAGAGTTGCACAATTATTTCTGTAGTTACTAGAATCATTGTAATGATATTGACTTTAAAAGAACATGCATATACCCAAGGGGAAATTTAATTAGATTTAATTAGAGCATTGTTTTGAGGTCAGAATTTGATTTGAGGATAAACTTCGATTAAGGTACCTGATATCTTCTCCAGACAAATATAGAGTGATATATGTTGCAAAGGAAAGCACATTTTTTAATTATGAAGAATTAAATCTGAACTATAAATGACTGGTTTATTAATGACTATTTTAAAATAGTCTTTGATTAAAAATACCTACTGAATAAAAATAAGAACAAAAATCTGTCACTGAATTTCTGTGGGGAGCACAATATACTCTAGTGACTATAAATTAATATGAAGTACTTTGTCACATTTATAATATATGAAAATGTCATTTCACAGGGACAGGCAAAGATGATGAAGGATGGAAAGGTTTTTAGAGTTATTCAGGAGAACTGCTGGGATCCAGAAGTACGGATTAAAGAGATGGATCTATCAGGTACCTCCATGAAGGAATTGAAATCATTGTGTCTCATTTAGAATAACAGCAACTTCTCTGTTAGTGTTTCTGAAAGCACTCAATAACAATACCAAAATGAAAAGGTTTAGCATGCTGATTCGTTAGTTTAAATCTGTTGAAAATCAGTGAAAACCGATATGCTTTATACTCAGACTCAGAGGGGACATGTTCCCATAACTTTTCTCATTTTCAGTAGCAATTTATTTCTGACATGGGTTTATTAATTTTGGTGGGAATTTTAAGGCAGTAAGGAACAATTTTATGGAAGTAAGGATGGCTGATGCTGGATTTGAAAAAGCAACATACATTCCAGCTATAGAAGTGTTTTACATAAAGGGGTAGCCCTATCATTTTTGTTCCAAATGTTAAAATTATTCTCTTTATTCATAGGATTTTTTGTATGTTTGTTTCCTTTTCTAATATTTTTTTTTCTGCTTAGATGTGGCAACTTCATTCTGTATTATTGCCAGAGGACTCTGAGCCTTGAGAACTGGTACAATTACTTTCTTAGAAAAGAGAATTTTCCTGATTTAGAAAGAAACTTAACCAGATGCCAAATCTGTAAATGTATTTTCCGTCAAGTTACTTACATGCCACTAAATAAGGTTTGTAAGATGGGAGACTGGGCGTGAGAGAAGGAACTTTTCATTTGATCAGTTCTTTTTGTTAATTCTTATTAACTCTATAATTCCCAATTGTTTTTGGGAGAGAAGTATTATGTTGCTAAAGATTATTTTTTCTTAGATTGAGGTCTGACTAATTCCTACATCAGTTTCTCAGTAGACACAACTTGAATATCTTCTCCCACTTGTCGTAAGACATAAACAGCTGAATTTCTCTAAAAAGCAGATATTTTATAAGTAGCGTCTTTATGATTATTGTTTCCTTCTGTAATGAGACAGCATGTTAGGAGATACTTTGAGTCATTCTCCTTACGGAGGTTTACTGCAATATATAACATAGGCCTACCAGGGAGTTCAGGGGCTGGTGGCCAATTTATGTAAACACAATTTAGATGATTTTACACAACCTTGTTTTCACCCTTGAGAAGCAGTATTTCAAACTCCAGCCATTAGACATTCAATGGGAGTGCTAGAATGTCTTTGCAACCCTCTCTGAAATACGCTGCCTTGACTAGGCTGTAATCATTCTCTGAGTTAGCTCAGGGATTTGGAAGATTACCACATCATTCGACCACAGTGTGGATCATAAATAGCCTTTTGGGCATCTTTCCCTTTCAGATATTTCCCTCAGTGGCAAATTTCTACAAAACAATTCCACCCCATCTATTTGCTGTAGACAAAGGGAAAACATAGGAGCAATTTTTTTCCTTATTGTTTTTTTTTTTAACAGCTCTCTAGAAAAGAGAATGTACTATAAAGCCTACACTACAATATTTCTCCACAAACTAAACAGGGCTCACGTCGTTAAAAAAAAAACAAAACCCAAAAACCTGAAACTGTGTGTTACAGCACCATCTGGTGACTTCTGCTATAAAAATGTTCCCTTTTATTACAGTACTCCAGAGATGCAGGCATCAGCCAATTAAGAGGAAAAAAAAAGTCTTGGTGTTTTTCATTCTTACTGTTCAACTAATGATAAAGACTATGGGGCACATTTATTCTTTTTCAGTTTGCAGATCTGTAGCTGCTTAGTTTTCTGTAACACAGGCCCAAATAGATTATACGTAAAAATTTAACCTCCAAACACGGCAGAATTTTGGAACAAAGATGCAAAGATGAAAGCTGAACAAAACTAATGTCAGTCACTGTAAGGTATTATTAACTCAGAGAGGTAACTTACAGCTTGGTTGCTAAAAGGCTTTGTTGGAGCAATGCCCAAGAAACCTTGCCAGTAGTATGAAATGGTAGCCAATATACCAAAGAGACTAAAGTAGTTCTTATAATCTTATGACAGAATCACATGTCCTAGTTCTGTTTGGTATACAAACCTATGTCTTGGTGCACTCCATAAAACAAACTATTAAAGTAATTCAGTGAAACATCCTTTAAAGATAATTAACATCACAGTTCTGTGACACAAATCGTCACAATTTTGTTGGAGAAAAATTTTTCAGTTAATCCTACCTGCCTTTTCTTTTTGTTTTCCCCTTTGTAAAACCTTCTGAAGAGGGTATAAAGTAGAGGTTTTTCTGTGCTGATTCTTCTGCCTAAAACTAGTCTCTAGGGATGTTCAGCTCAGAAATCTACCTGTAAGGTTTATCTTAAATTTGCTCAGCAATGTAAAAGTGAATTGAAACCAGATAAAATGCCGATTGTGGAAAACATAGTGAATGTTCTCAGTGTCCCCCAGCATATTGGGGGATAATACAACTTGGGCTGTACTTCAGTGTATATGTAATTTTGTAGACCTAATCCTTAACCCCAAAACATTGCTGCTGCACAAAATATTAATAGGTCTTGTAAGAAAGATGCCTGAGCCAGCTTTCCCTCTCATTTCCTACTTAAAATGCTGAGGAGGATAAATAATTTTGTTAAATATTCAAGTGCTTTGGCAAGACCATTGTCTTAGAAGAAATTCTTCTGTGTTTTTTCTGCCATGTTTTGCATGAGTATCTTTATTCCTAACAACCAAGTTAAAATTTTTTAGGCATGACAGAATATATGTATAAATATTACAGTCAGACCTAAAATTGAAAAAGATACAGTTTTGCATGTAACAATTTAGTGACGTCCTAATTACTGTTTCTTCTGTTGTTAATCTCCTAGGCTTGTCGTGTTCACTTCTGTAACTTGTCACACACAAAGTTATGGTATAGATTTGTGTTTGAACAGAAACCAAACAACATAGTCTTAATTCTCTGTTTTGCTAATATCAAAGTTATTTCTAAAACCAGGCAGATTTTCTTACACTTACAACCTCAGTAGTGCAGACACGGGATGAATGAAACAGCACAATATAGCTTGGGGGAACACTTAGGAAAACATTGTTTAAAAACCATTGTTAAGATAACATTATTTATCTTTGACGTTATTTATTTATTTATTTATGTATAAAATAAATATGGTTAAGGTGACCCCAAAATACACTTCAGATACTGTATTCTGTTGGTTTAATGTCCCATTTATTTATGTGAGAGTAACGTTGCTATTTTAATTAATTGTACACATGCATACTAAAATATACTTCTAAAATCAAAACACAAATTATTCACAAATAATCTAGTACGAGTATGAAAGTGTTATTTTTCTTCCTACTTAGCAAAATTATTCCAATCCTAATAAACTGGTAGACTATAAAATTTATTACTGCGATCCTTAATGATAAAAATAAATTATTCATACCACTGTCAAATCAATCCTTTTTAGTATTAAACCTTTCACCTTCGACCTTTCAAACCAAAGTGCTTTCTTACTTTTAGCATATTACCAAAAAAAAAGAAAAAAAAGAGAAATATTAATAACTGCTTTTTCTTACTCAGGAGTCACAGTCCAAGTCCTTTCCACAGTCCCTGTAATGTTCAGCTACTGGGTAGGTTTCTACTAGCCTATTTTGTAATTACAAATATTTTTAAAAATAAATGCATCCTCCTATAAATGAGGTGATTGAAGCAATCACTGGAGCACTGAAGTAAATGGGGAATTGTTCTGCTGTAAAAAATGAAAGACGAAATATAGTCCAGGTGTCAGAAGAGCCAGTGGGGTGTCCTGGCAAAGCTCCTCTCTGGAGTACACTTGGTGGGAGCGAGACAAGAGGATTTCTTCTGGGGACCTTATGGGGATTGCTGGAAACAGAGAGAGAGGATTTACACAGCATGAATCCATGGTTAGTGGGTAGATACAAATGTACAGATTTCATGAAAGCTAGACATCAATCAGTATTTTCTCATAAAAAAAAAATGGGTCTTGTCCCATTTTTAAATGTGGCATGGGACTCATTGACCTAGAATGCTTTGAATCTTAAAATTCAGCAGCAAATTTAAATTAATATGTTCCCTGCATTTTGATCCTGAATGCATCAAAAAAATAGAAACAGTCTAGTAAGTCCTAGTAAAATGCGGTTCTGAATATATTCTCAGTCTGACTATTTTCATATGTGTACAAGTCAAGTTGTTATACGTAAACAGATAAGCTATATTAAAAATCATTGTGTTAGGCCTGTGTATAAGCAGTGTCACTGATCTTCAGAGTTTCTTGTTAGGTGACCTATCTTTAAAATTTTATTCTGGCATTTTGGGGAATATTTTTCATTAAATATATAGTGGGGGCAAAATCGGGAAACCGGTTGTATGGATATTGCAGTTCACTTATTAGAATTAAGACTGTTACCTCCTTCTAAATATTAGAGAGGTTTGCTCAAGTTCTCAGTGTAGAATTTTCATGCTCCAGCATCTCTCATTTCTTATTTTTATCTCTTCAACTTCAGTAGCAGGAGAGTAAATATTCATTGCCATGTTTAAAAACTGTATGCTGAGGTTTCTGCATTGGGATTAGCAAAAATAGAGGACTGGTTTACACAAAAGACCAGCTACTTAACTGCCTCAGCAACCTCGGCTTTATTACATTCATCCTACGGAAAGGCAACAGCAGTTGATAAAATATTCAAGGCCAGAAGGGGAACTACACCCAGAGGTTTTAAAGTGAGGCAGAATATAGCCCTACTGGATTCCACCTACTCAGATCTGTAAAGTAAATTTTCATTTCAAACCCTGTCTCTGAATTGTTTGCAGTGACATTTCTCCAGTATCTTCCAAAGGAGATAACATTCGAGAACTACATTTCAATATACTGTTCTGCTTACTATCTTACCAGGCTAAACCTCAGGATACTTTAGATCTAGCCCAGATATTAAATAATGACTTAGCTGCTACAGTAAAAAAGTACCCCAAGAGGTTTATCGGCTTGGGTACGTTACCTTTGCAAGCTCCAGACCTGGCTGTGAAGGAAATGCATCGCTGCGTGCAAGAACTTGGATTTCCTGGAGTGCAAATAGGATCTCATGTCAATGAATGGGACCTGAATGCACCAGAACTGTATGATATTTATGCTGTGAGTAAATGTTTCCTTCCTTATTTGAGGAAATTGTGATACAGAATTCTGTCTAAAAACATCTTGGAATATATTCAGTCATCAACTAAATTTATAGATACATTAAAATAATTGAACTTTTTCTAATCTGCTTAGTGATCAGATTCATTGTTAATTAGATAATTCATTATAGGATATAATGACAATAATAGAAAATAAAACATTCCAAAACATAATAATGAATAACAAAGTCTTTTTTATTATAGGAGTTCTCACTGTACAGTTGCCTTCTTAGTTTGTGAGGATAAGTGCAGTATCAAATAAAGAATTTCTGCACTGTTTGCTTTTGGGTTCAGGTCACGGTATGTCCAGTACTCTTGAGATAACTGATAAAACTCGCTGACATTTTCAGAGGTAACTATGGAGCCAAAGTACCATGCAGAATTATGCAAATGGGACAAAAAGTTCCAAACTGAATGTGTTGATTAGGAAAAGAATTTATAGATTGCATTTCTTAAATAGCCTGTGGTCCAGGTGAGGATGGTCATTTGTCTAAATAATGGGGTTCAATCAGTGCACATTTTGTATCTGTTTCACAGGTTAATACAGCTGTCAGCTTGAGGTTATTTTCCCAATGCTCAATTTATTCAAGAATTCTGTTAGTGCAGCATATGGACTATTTGTTTTTATGGCCATATGCAGTCAGTTCACAACTTTCACTCCTGGAGATGCACACATTCACAGAACCACAGCATGGCTGAGGTTGGAAGGGACCTCTAGAGGTCACCAGGTCCAACCCCTTGCTCAAGCAGGGCCACCTGCAGCCAGATGCCCAGGACCATGCCCAGATAGTGTTTCAATTTCTCCAAGGACAGAAACTCCACAACTTATCTGGGCAACCTGTGCCAGCGTTCAGTCACCCTCAGGGCACAAATGTGTTTCCTGATGTCTAGTAGGAACTTTGTGTGTTTCAGTTTGTGCCCATTGCCTCCAGTCCTGTCACAGGGCGCCACAGAAAGGAGTGTGGCTCCATCTTCTTTACGCCCTCCCTTGAGGTGCTTATATACATCAATGAGATCCCCCCTGAGCCTTTTCTTCTCAAGGCTAAACAGTCGCAGCTCTCTCAGCATTTTGTTGTACGAGAGATGCTCCAGTCCCTTCATCACCTTTGGGCTCTCTCCAGTACCTCCATGTCTCCCTTGTATTAAGATCCCTCTCTCATACTGGGATCTCACTCTTATACTGCACATTCTTCAGCTTATGTTTAATGCATGCAGGTAGTAACCTCTATCACTTTTAGAAACATCCCTTGATAATAAAGATTTTGAAATTTAGTTATATTTGATAATGAACTTTTTCAATTTACTAAGCCAGCTGTTGAATCTCTATTTTTAGTTTACAAATGTAGATGGCAATTACTCCCTACAATCCAAAACTTGCAGCTTTATTTATGCATGTAAGGGTAAATAAACCCAAATTTTTCAAATGTGTGATAATCTCCTTAGCAACAAGAGGAGGTCTAGAAATACATCTGACAAAACGAAGCTGTTAAATTTTGGTTAAGCATATGAATGACTCTGATGACTATATATTCAAATCTAAGCACAGAGTTAACTTGGTTAGAATTGGCCTCCTGTATTGTTCTTCTATTTTCCTTTCCAAAGATGTCAGTAGTTTTGGAAAAATAAATATACTTGAGTGGAGATGGACTATAGATCAGAGTACAGCTAAATTTCAAACTCTTAGGGTGAACTAGGAATAGTTTAACTACATTTAAGCCAGGCGGATGGCCAGATGGGACAAATGTAGTGCAGCAGCAATGAAAATACCTGAATGCAGCTGGAGCAGTTCTGCAAAACCACCCTAAAACTGTTCTATAAAACATTATGAGAATTCATCCTCATAAGTGTAATGAAACCAAAAGAATGCTACTTTGAACTGAGTGTTTTAATGCAGGAGGACTGACGAACACAGCTAAAAAAGGATTTTTGTAACACATTAATCTGAGTAACAGTTTATTAAAAAGATACTATCATCAGTGTTTCCAACCTTGCAGTCTCAAAAAGAACTTTGAAACTGAGTAAGGACTTCAGGATATGGCCCAGAGGAGTAAATATAACCAATTACTGCTTATTGTTCTTACATCCGGGCCTGTTCTTATTAGTAATACTAACACCCAGTACAATTTGCAGGTAATCTTTAAAGCATAGTGAAGAACTAAGATGCATTTTGATATCATTAGTCAAGATTTAGATTTCTTCTTTTTGCTGCAGGCTGCTGAACAATTAAATTGCTGTCTCTTTGTGCATCCCTGGGACATGCAGATAGATGGAAGGATGTCCAAATATTGGTTTCCCTGGCTAATAGGTGAGTGTATATTTACTTTGCTCAATCTACATTTATGAACTGTCACTGAATTATACCCCGGAATATTGTTATGAAGGTGCAGAAAAACTAGATGATTTTTCTATTTTTTCTTAAATCAAGTACTACAATTAAGTCTGTTATGTAAATTCAGCAGTCATTTGGTTTTAAGCTTGTTTAGTTTGTCTAACTTCTAAATACCTAGAATTAAAATTATTCAGACTAGCAACCAAATCTAGTATTCTCTTTAGTCCTAAATGCAAAGAACAGATGACTAGGGAAAAGTGAATTGTCTCAGAAATGAGCTCCTCAAAAATAAAGTGAATAAAGGAAGGAGTAGGCAAAACCAAACATTACTTCCTAGAATTTCTTGGATTATTTCCTAGAAATAGGTTGATCAGAGAGGAAATAAATGTGGGTTCACGCCAGCTATAGCTGAAACAAAATGTACTTTGAAAGCTTCTCATAGATGTAGGGAATTATCTAGCCTCTGTTTTCTTTCCCATCTGCTAGGTAAATCAGAACAGCATTGAGTAACAGGAAGTATATTATACTGCTACCTAGAAATGTTTAGACCTGATTCCATCTTCATTTATTCTGTTTACATCATTTAGTTTTGCATGGTTTTACACTGCTTCCAGTAGAGGTTTTCTGGGAAACATGCACAATACATACATATCTGTGCTGCAATATACACTGGAAAATCTTAGTGTCCCGATCACCAGTGCATTATCTTAGTCTTAATCAGAGCAGACTCAACCACACAGATTTAAAAACAGACTAAAATTATTTTGTTTACTTAAGAAATTATAATGAAAAGATTTTGCTACTAAACCTAACGAGGATTTGCATCTGAGTATATGGTATAACATTAGGGAAAGCCAGCCGTTTCAGCTGGATAGGTATTGTTTCCCCCACAGATGAGGGGAACTCAGGTCCTAATTTCAAGCTGAATGTCTGAAGTTAGGGGCCTAAATAATGTGATGTTCTAAATAAGTTAGTTGTGCTTGGAAACCGAGGCCTGATGTAGGAATCTAAATTTTTGTTACACTCCTGACACTGGGCATTCAAGCTGCCCAGTGGCAAAGAGAGAGAGGGGTTATTTCTAAACTATAGGAACTGCCACTGTGTCATAACTAAACACCAAATCTTGTTGGAACATCCACCAACATATCTGCTCACACAAAAGAAACGTAGAAGCAGAGGTCAGAAGAGAACCTGGCCTATTCCAGACTTGTGTTGAGCTAGGAGAGCTGGGGAATCAAGCCTGTACTGTGTGGTTCAGGACATACTCAGCCTGCCTGTCAGCTGTCCTAGTGATGTAAGATAAAAACTGGGTTTAGAATTCAGATCTTAGCTTCCAGTCCCATGTCCTCGTTTCAGTTAATTAGTGTTCAGCTCCGTATTCCTCTAATACAAATAATGTATAACCTTTGGCTGCTGCTCTGGAACTATTATTTTTTCAGTAGGCTCAAGGCTAATTGAAGAAAATTAAGATAACATTTAAAACTCAAACGGGAAAATAAAGAATAGAACTCTCATAAAATAAAGCTCTTTTTTTTGTTCTTAGGCATGCCAGCAGAAACAACCATGGCCATTTGCTCCATGATTATGGGAGGCATTTTTGAAAAATTTCCTAAGCTGAAAGTGTGCTTTGCACACGGAGGTAAGATACCATGTGAAGCACCTTGCTCATTAGTTGAGCATGTTACGATTCTGTTTTCTGGTATGCCAGCTAATAGGGTGACCACTGTAAGCCTGCCACCAGCTGAGCACGATTACCCCAGAGAAGATGATCTGCAGGTTGGCTGCTTGTATGAACACTCTCTAGTCTGTTTCAGCCAGCGTCTGAACTGTTACAATAGCCTTTGAGAGAAATGAGGAGGAGAGGAAGACAGGAGATGGTTTCAAGAAAGGGACAAGAAAGCAGCAGAAAGAATTTGGGCATCACAGCAGTGAAGAAGTGGGGAAAATAGAGAAGGAAGCCAATGAAGGGGAAGGAATAAAAAACTGCTGGTGCAGAGCACTTTCTTTCTAAACAACTGATGGTAAAACTTAGGGATCTCTGCTGATAATGGGGCCTTTTTTCCTCCTGCGTATTTTCATCTTCTGTTACTAAAAATTTCTTCTTGCAGGTGGAGCTTTTCCATACACAGTGGGGCGAATTTCCCACGGATTCAATGTGCGCCCTGATTTGTGTGCAGTTGATAATAAGGTGGATCCAAGAAAATACCTTGGTTCATTTTACACAGACTCTCTTGTCCATGATCGTGGTGCACTAAGGCTGCTAACAAGTGTAATAGGAGAGGTGAGTTTTAATGCTTCCAGAAGCAGGTGAGTTGTTCTTTAATTCTCTTTGAAATAGCAAAAGGAGAAGAGAAGAAAAGAAGAAAGAAAGAAGATGACAGCATTTACAGACCAAGCAAAATCAGAATCTGAGCTATTATAAACTGATGGGCTTCTGCCATGTTAATAATGTTTTTACTATATGGCATTATTGGAATAGTGGTTTTAATCCAGGAAGTCATGCACTGTCAACCTTATTTGCTTGTGTAAGGTTGTTCAGGATGGAACTGCAAGCAAAGACTGCTTCATTTGGAACCTCGTTTTCAAACCGCTTAATTTTCAAATTGAAGCGTATACTTGAAGAAATCAAACTGAATTTCCAGTAATGAAGTTATGGGCAGAAACAAGTCAATAGTAAAGTTTTTGTGAGGATCCTGGAGAGAACACTGAACACCATGGGTCTGCAAAAATATTTTAATTGTTGGAGTGGAGAGTAAAGAAATCTTTTTTGTTCAGCAACCTGTTTAATTCAGTTACAGCATGAGACAGAAAAAAAACCCAAAACATTCAAATAATTCCTTCTCACTAGTGAGTGCTCAGGAAGGAGTTGAAGATGGCATCACTCATGCCAACTTCCAATAGATCACTACAAATCAACAACAGACTTACATTTGTGTCTTGTGCTCTGGACCTCACAGAGTTCCTGCAGCTGACAGGTGTGCCAGATGTACACCAGATGTAAAAAGCAGAAAATCAAGCTCTGACGTTGACTTTCTTGTCTCAAGAACTGTATTCCTGCTTCCTCTATGTTGGTTTCTAGGCTCTTGAGGTACCTTCTCACATATAGGGCTGTCAGGGTCATCAGGGCCTTTTGTATGACCAAAGCTCACAAAGACAGCTAAGCTGAGTGTTTTCTTTCTCTCTACAGAAAAGATACTGTTGATCTCCCATTTTCACCTTTAACAATCTGAACAGGTTACTGCAATAAATCTGAACTAGGACTGGTACAGAAGTGACTTGCCTAGGCCATCCAAAAATTGTAATGCAGAACTACTGCTTGCTTTATTGTGATACTCTGAGCCCAGGTCTCAACCCTTTCAAATCCAGGGGTTTTCAGTCTGTGCTGCACAGGAATTCTATAGCTTTGAGACTGAACTTCTGCCTGCAGCTCCGCTACAGTACCTGTGCCTTTTAGGAAAATTTTGTATTTAAAGTTTCATGAAAAATTCAACAATGTGATAGCACAACTACAGCTTGAAACAATACTATGGAAAGGTTTTGTAAAGTGTATATGTGTGTATACGTACAGTAACACTACAGCTCTAAGGAAAGGAGAGAGAATAGCTCTTTCTTAAATCCACCATGAACCAGAAATAGATTTATGGCAGGAGCCCCCAAAAAATTGCAATTAAACTACTATGCAGCCTCATTCCATCAGAAACAAGATAAAATGCAGGTCAGTTTACTTGTCAAAAAACCTGCTAATAAGCTGTTAACATTGGAAATTTCTGATAACGTCAGTGAGTAGCAACTCAGGTGGCATTTGCCAAGTTCCTTCCGCACGTAGAGATGTTAGAGATTTTTGTTGGCAGTGCTAGCCCTAGTCCATACTGATGGGGAGAGCTCTGAGTCATGGATGAAGTTTCAGGCACCAGATGGGATACTAGCAAAATACTGGGGCTCCAACCTCTAAATGGTAAATAAATCATCATCAACAACCCGGAACATTTTACTGTGCATTACATTTGAAATCTTATTGTAGTTTACAGTAATGAAGTGGCTTTAAGTAGTTTCGACAATAGATTTTAAAATGTTACCAGATGTGATGTGCACTTCCATTTTGCAAGACACCCAAAGGCTTATGGAGTTAACAGTTCAGCACTTGCATCCAGTTATCTCCTTGTCTCAGAAGTCTTCCCAAATTTCGACCACATTCATCCTAAGTATATTCTTGTTCTACATGCAGTTATAGTATAGAGGGATAAGTCTAGTTCTTGAATTTTAAACTGCCATGTCAAGGTCAGATTCCTTTTTTATTGCCAGGGAGACAAGATCACATGCTTGTTTCTTTTTTTTTCTTCCCATTTTAGAATGCTAGGAGACGTGTTTTGCCATTGTTAGAAAGACCTTGGTAAATTAGAAGCACAACTTGTAGAGGATGTCTCATAGCAATTCTGCTTTAGAGTAACAAGTTGGCTTTGCTTCTCAAGGCTGCTCTAAGCTATGGTTGCTGTGGGAAAGCTGCACCACGCTTAAACTCTTGTTCTCTACGCTTCTTCCTAAGACGTGACACATAGATTCTGGCCCTTAATCATGATTAGTCATTGTGACTGCAGTTTAGTTGTTTGATGAGAGAGAGGTTATGGATTCTAATTCAATAATTTGAAAGTCACTCAGCAATACCTACTTCTGAAATTAAGTTTCTTAATGCCATAAATTTGACCAGTGTACTACATGGGATGTTGGTGTCTTCTTTAATTCTCCTTTCGGTATTTTGAACTCAAGCAATGAGACAAAAGGTAGAGCCACAAGTCATGAGTCAGATCCCAAAAACTTAAATGCTTTTAACACTCCAAAGAACTTGAAGAAAACTACATTTTCTTTTTTTCATAGCCTAAGCATCTTACCCTTGAAAAAAAAATTCACATCACATTTTCAAGCTTTACTTTATGACCATGAAGATTTAAATGTCTCTTCTTTTTTCCAGTAAGTTGATATTTTAAATAACACCATTCCAAGAGTCAAATGCCTAAAAAAACTCATAGAATTGTAGAATCGTTTCAGTTGGATGCCAAATATCTCAGTGTTTTCAGTGCAGCCATGCATTGGATGACTCTGTAACTTTATGAGCTGAAGGTCTGAAATAGGCCAGCTCTCTAGAGTATAACTAAGAGCTGTGCAGGCAGGGCACCAGTGTCTGTGAAGATGTGCTTAGACATGGCTTCAGGTCCGTAGGGAACAGCCGTTGCCTGGCATGAGAAAGTAATGGGTTGGCTTTGAGCTCATGAATACTAAAATCCAGTGACAGCTCTGATGAGTCAGGTACATTTAACTTCATTCCTTCTTACGTTTGGGGTGCAGGTTAATTGGAGCCTATCCCAGGTAAAGGAATCAGAAATAGACATTTCTGAGAGAATTTTGTAAGTCTGCAAATTTTCTACAGCCCTTTGCTCCCCCCATGATGAGGTAGCATGAAGTGAATATAAAAAAGCACAAAATCCCTAATGATGCTGGCTATAAAAAGTGAAGAATGGGGTTGACAGGCGATTAAATAATTCGGTGTATCTTTGCAAAAACTTCCCCATGGTGATCCCTCAGCAGCCGTCATCCAAGGGTAAAACCTCTGGCCAGAAGATAGAGCTGAACTGGCTACAATAATCTGGGCTTTGTTTTGAGATATGTCCTGATAGTACAAAAGAAGGTAAGATTCAAGGCAAAAGCAATTTTTACTAATACAAGAGAACAACCCTACACTTGATGCACCTTTCTTTCATTTTAAGATTCGGGTCCCTATTGCTATGAAAAAAGTGATGCTGAGTAGAAGGGCCCACTGAGGTTAATCATTGGTCATATGTACCTTTCTAAAAGGAGAGATGCACTAATTAACGCATTGAACTGTAAGTCCTCTAGGGAAAACTGACTTTGTTGATATCCTTTGGAATAATATAATAATACATCTGTTATGCCAAGGGTATTATTTATCCGCAGAGATTTCACAGGACTTCTCTAAGGCTGGTTGCTCAAGCCAGGTATTGCAATCCCCATTTTATAGACGGGTACAAAAGAGTATAAATTAGTAGCCTAGTGTCAAAAGTAGCAGAGTAATAACGGGGCTTCTAAATGTTTCTTATTAATTCACAGCTCTTAGTTTTATTGCTAATGAATAGATCACATGATTAGCTGTGAAACACTTTAGAGGAGAAGAAAAATATAACTGAAATAATATATATTCCAATGAAGGAGCATTATTTCTTTCTGCTTTGGTATATAGGAGATACAAACAAGAATGTACAAACCTTCCTGGCTTACTTAACCTTGACTAATAAACAGCTGGGCAAATACTGGATTTCCATCTCCTTTACACTGAAATCCATTTTCTTATATAAACCAAGTATGTTTATTGGTCATTCATTTGTTTTGGGGTTTTTTATGTTGCATACTTTTATTTGGTATCTGAAGAAAACATCTTGGTATCAGCTTGAATATTATAAATAAAATAATGTATTTAAGGGCTTAAAAGTACACACATCCAAATATATTTTGTTTAATCTACACTCAGAACTTAATATAGTAGACAGAGGGTATAAATTCTCCTATTCCTCTTCTAAACTTATGGAAAGCCTTATGTAATAAATCATAACACAACAATCTAGGACAGAACAATAGAATGGGTACTTCTGTTTGGATGTAGTATGGGTTGTTATCTCTTGGGTGACATCTAGTGGAGATTTAAAAAATTTTAAAAAATTTATCTGACAAGAAAAGCAAATCATTTCATAAAAAACTGAATTATGTTTTCTTCATTCTATTTCAGTACTGGTAACTGAGTTCAAATGTTATAGCAAGTGCCCCAAATTCATGAGCTTGACTTCAAATTCATGAGACATTTAAAAACATATATTTTTAATGAAAACAGTCATTTTAAAATATTCAAGTCTCCAGGAGATGAAGCTTAAAGGAAAATAGTCTTTTGATAAAATCAAGAGAGATGGTAGTATGCACTCTCCAAGGCAGATAAAATGGGGAAATATCATCTCGGTGTGAAAATGAACCTATAACAATGTGGACCTATTGAGGACCTGACTATTTCTTTTCATCTCGGAAAACAGGAACGATGCATCCAGATTTTTATTGAATTTTCTTTTCACTGACTTGCTTTCAAGAAACAAATCATATCACATCACTCGTATTCTCAGATATGTGTTTCAAATGCACAGGTAATATTCAATCTCAGTTAAAGACAATGACATTTTTAAAAAAACTATGGACTTCCACAAAGTAAGTCAAGGGAGAAGAAGGAAGAATTCTGTGTGTCCTTTATTGGCCAATTAATTATGGCAACATGTAACCAAGATTAATCGCTATGTTTTAAGCCAACTCCTTGCAGAAGCAGTATGAGCAGTGAGGGAGAACAACAGGTGCCTTTTTCTTACATTTCAAGGCAGCACCAGAGCACAGAAAATCCATCTGAGCAGGAAGTTACCATTTGTGTTGTATTCACCCAAGCAATGCATGGGCCTGGGATTTGCATTTTAAACTTTCCGCATATTGGAATAAAAATACACCAAAATTTATTTAGGCACCACAAAAACAATTAGCAAATGACCTGTACTTTTTTCAAACTTAGAGTCACCCAATAAACTCTTAAGTCATTGTTTTCAAGCTTTGTTTTTTCTCCTAATTAAAGTTGGAACCCAAAGATGATCTTCACAAGTAATTTCCTGTTATTTATTATAAATTGCAGAAAGCACGTGCAACTATATTTTTTAATGTTACTACAAAATGTACAAGATGTTGTTTTATTACCAGGACAAAGTTATTTTGGGGACAGATTACCCTTTTCCACTTGGGGAACTGGAACCTGGAAAATTGATTGATTCAATGGAAGATTTTGACAATAAACTGAAGGTATGAGCTTTTGTTTTGTTCCCCTCCTTTTTAAGCCTCTGATTTTAGAC